TGTACTGTGATATCTGACCACCACAACAGGTCCCCGCAATGAATGAGAATCAATTGTACTCCTGTGGTCCCTGAAATTACCATTTTACCTTCTGTGAGATTTATAATAGAGCTGATAAAAATACGGTACGAAACGAAATTATGGAATTTAAATATTTTTAAAGCACTTATTTTATAATAAGTAAATTTGATTTGATTTGATATGATATGATTAATATAAAAATTAAATATAAATAAAATTAATTTAAAAAATTATACGATACGACGTTTGAAGGGCCTAATTCACAGGGTGGGAGGGAGGGACATGGAGTTTTTGACTGGTTTGGAATAATTTCCTTTCATGGAGAAATTAGAGTGTTTGGGGTATTGAAAGTTATGTAAAAATGGGGTGGAGAGACTATTTGGAATAAAGGACAATTATTTTGGGCCAACAGACAAAGGACTATTTTAGTTTAATTTAGTAATGTAGTTGGTTTGGACGATGAATCTCTAAAATTTTCCTCATTAAATATTAGATTTTTTAATTTTAAATTGTTTGACAACAATGCATTTATCTCGTCAAATTAAATCATTTTATATAATTTATGTAATTACTCCTACAAAACTATTTTATTTCATCCTTCTTAATTTAGCACAGTAATAAACAATTTTTCAAAAATACTAGGTTCGTGTTATGGTCGGAATCGGATGGGATAATCGGGGGTGAGGGTAGCAAGTCAGGTGACAAAATTGTGATGGAAGAGATTAAAAATATCGTTCATATAATTGGTAGAATTAAGAAATAATGTATTCATAAAAATTGAGTAAACACTGAGAATTGAGACTGAGAATTGAGCTATGTGGTTGAACATATCTATAGAAACTATCATTGTACTACTAAGATGAGTGTTTTGATCCATATTGTTGATAATTCAAAGGGGTAGAGAAAAAATGAAATTTACTTTCATTGGGATAGTTGGTAAAAGGTACAAATTTTGGTGTTTAACACAAAAATATGTCCTTTTATTATAACACGAAGACAATATCAAGATTCATGTAATTAATTTATAATCTATAATATAAAATAAGACAGACTTTAATAATCTCATCCGATGGTCTCAAATAGACATGTCCAATGGCCATTAACAATTTCTCTCAAAACCATTCATATTGTACCATAACTTCAAACACGGTTACCCTAATACTAAATAATTAGAGAAGAGTCTTTTGAGTTGATATCTTTTTTATAACAATCTTCTTGAATTGTCATAAGTTTTGTAGAAAATTAAATTAATAAACATTATCTCAATTGATAAATGGTATTTATGTTGGAGGAAATTTATTTGAATGCCTAAGTAATATTCAAATCCTGATTTACTTATTCATCTGATTATGGACAATACAGTCGTGATGATTCCCTTAATAATACTCTCCAATCTATTGGATTTGAATGAGGTTATGGTGTATAAATTTAATTTCTTGGTATTATACCAAAAAATATCTTTTAATCGTGAATTTTGATTTTATTCACGAGTAATGTTATAGTGACGTTATTTAGGAATCTAATTCAATGCAATCGTTGGATTATAGTTATGAGTTTCAATATCGATAAAGTTCACTTTCAACTAGAGATAACTCGTGCTTGAAAGTACAATGTAGTGTAAATAGTTTTGAGAGATATGTTGATAGTTGTTGGATGAATCTATTTGAGACTGTCGGATGAATTTATTAAAACCTGTCATGTTTTATATCATAGATAATATTTTTATTTCTTTATTTGTAGTCATCGATCATAGATATAATAAACTAAGGTAAAAAATAAAATAATCATGATGAGAATATATACATGTCATCTTGTGATTGGACAAAAAAATGACATAAAAAAAAATGTTATCCTAGTCTAATATATTATATTTAAGTTTAGAGTTAATTGCACTGCAGGTCCCTAAAATATGAAATTTAATTCATTTTGGTTCCTAATATTTCAATTGCATCATTTTGGTCCCTGAAGTATTGAATATGTTTCTATATGATCTCTTAAGCAGATAATGCCCAGACTGCTCACATTTTTTATCATAAATTTATCACGTGATACTTAAATATGGACAAAAAAATAATTTAGATAACTTTTAACCAAATTTTTAATTACATTTTGGTTAAATAGTTATCCAAATTATACAGTTTAAATCATGATCTATCAAAATTTTGGTCAAAAGCTACTCATATTATATATATTTTTGTCAAGAGTTACCTAAATTTTGTTTAAGAGCTATTAAAATTATTTTTTGTTCATATTTAAATATTACATGATAAATTTTTAATAAAAAATCGTTAGTAATTTGGACGTTATCTAGTTGATAGACCATATAGAAACATATTCAATATTTTATAAACCAAAATAATGCAACTAAAATATTAGAGAGCAAAATGAGATAGACCTTATACTTTAAGAACCTCCAATACAATTACCCCTTAACTTTATCAAATACTAGATAATTGAGAAAAGAAGGTTCCACATATATGATAGCCCATTTGAATGGTGCATCCTCGGAATGATGAAAATTGCAAGAAAACTTGGGAAAACAGTAGCTGCTAATTTGTTTACAAGTAACCAAGCAAAAGGTTATGTACTTTATTTAAATAGACAAATCAAATAAAAGAAGTCTCACAATTCATGGAGTTATATGATTTGGTTATTGATTCCTATGCTTTATTTTTGCATGATAACTTTAATCATAGGCAGTAGGCCAATTGCTTATATTTTTTGGAATGATTCTAGCTAGGTCTATTTAATATTTCATTTTTCTAATAAACAACCTTACAATGTCTAGTTTAACATATTCTTAAACGAATCGATTTTAAAAGTAATAGTAATGCATAAACAAATTTTACCCAGTGCAGGAGCTAACTTCTATTTACAATTCGATCTAAAAAGATAAGTGGTAACAGTCTCACTCAAATGTTTTGAAGAGTTGATGTATCACTTGGACGAGAAAATACTTCATTTTGAATACTTGATGATTTTATTTCAACAGTTCATATTCAAAATAACTAAAAATCAGAAAATTCCATCTAAAAATTTAATCCATTCCAAAAAAGTCAATTAAGTAAAACTTGAGTAAATTGCAAGAAGCATGTGAGATATTGTTATACTAGGTTAACCCGTGCCTAAAGACATAATCTAACATAAGTAAGAAGCGATGGATTTAGGGGAGAGGGAGAAATTCAATGTGAATGGTTTTAAGATGGATGTTGGTGTATTTGGATGAGTCGATTTGAGACCGTCAGATGAACTTATTGAAGTCTTTCATATTTTATATTATAAATTATTTAAACACACAATAGTCTCCAAACTCAAGCTATTATTTCTTGTTCTCTTTGTATTAAAAAACTTCAATTTCTATGATGCTCATATTAATCCAAAAATTAAAGTTACATAACACAAAAAAAAATCATTCACTCCATCGATAAAATCATAAATGAAAAAAAAAATAGCTTTTATGAAATGCTAAAATCAAATATGTCACTCCAGTTCATCACTAATGAATTTAAAAATCGTCACCGTATAATCCGAAAGACAAATATCAAAATACTAAAGAGAATAAATTTGTTACCATAGACAGTGTAGGAGGATATGTGTATAATTTGGTGGAGATTTACCTATGAATTAAGAGGTAAATATGAAAGTTAGGGAGTCGTGAATAGAATGTAGAAACGAAAGATCATTAATTTGAGGTAATTAAAAATGGAATGTGTCTTAAGTGGGAAAATAAAATTCGTCTATCAATCTAATCCGTCGAATCAATATTTTTTAGTTGATCTGAGCCGCAAAAAAATTAGAGATAAAATTGACTTTTGAATATAACTTATGTTTTACTCAGAAATGATTTGAGCCACAAAAAACTCAACATAAATGTTGAAATTCAAACTTTGCTTTGGATTTTATATAAATTAAAATCCAAACTCATGGAGAGATTGAATCAAATCAAATCCTACTGATCAAATCTAACTTTGAATCATATATGGGTCTACCCCCGTGGCCATGGGAGACCCTAAAAAGGATGTGCATAATGGATATCCATCCCCATATGAAGGGTTTTGATTCAAGTGTGTGTTGAGGTACACACTTGTATATAATGAATCTCACTTAAATACACGATAAATGACCCGTTAAGAAGAAAATTAAAGAAAAAAATGTATTAAAGAGTCTCAATTCGACAATATAAGCTTGTGGCATAAAAATGCACAAGATCTGTACAAGTTTTTTTTTTGGGATGACGAGAGAAATCCATGTCTTGTCATCAACGAGATAGAGATGACTTGATCGCTCAGGCTCGTGAGTTCGAATAGAATCGAAGATAAATTTCAGGTGCATGAATCAGTCCCTCAATTTATATATCAATTAAATCAGGAGTTACGCTTCAGAAGGGATTCAAACCCAAACCCAAAACTTGAATATAATTCGTCAAAATAACTGAGTTCCGTCCTATTACATTTTTTTGTCTCTCAGGAAACTTGAACCTTAGATCTCTCATAAAAATAAAATTTTCACAAGATAAAGAATATCATAGATATGCACAAGTTATATTTTAAAGAGAGTACTAACACAACACCAAATTGAAGTTCATTCATTGTAGATCATGAAAGCTTGGTAAGAGAAAGGTACAAAAGAAACCTGATCAAAATATTAAAGAAGATGCAAAGAATCCACCATTTCATCATCAAAACAGACTTATATTGATTTGTTTACCATATCTGTCCATAATAAAGCCAAAACTTCCCAGTGATTCCCGTGACTTTTTAGTTTTTACCAGCAGAAAAGGAGATAATAAAATCATGGCTTTACATCATCAGCCCTTCCCCACTCACTCATGAGTCATGACCCTTCCCATCCATTGCTCTTTTTTTTTTTTTTTGTCTCTCTCTCTCTCTCTCTTTCACACACACACCCCCACAATCCAATTTAACTTGAGCCTCCCTCCCTATCCCACACACACACACACTGCTCATAATATAACAACCCACAACCCCATCTAACTTCAGCCTCTCTCTCTCTCTCTCTATCTGCAAACTTTGTTCATCACCCTTCACAGTACAAGAATGTAATTCATCTCTCTCTCTCTTTCACCCTATAACCAACACAGTTCAAAAACAGTGAGAGAAAAGTGCACAGGTGGTGGAGGAAAAAATGCCAAGTTCGGGTTCATTTTTGAGGCAGCTAAGTGGGAAAGAAGGTTGTCAATCAACATCAAAGAGATGGGGAAGAAACAACAGATTCAATGGGAGTGGTGGTGAGTCATGTGTTGGAGGGTATGAGGCAAGTTTGAAGCAAATGGAAGGGCTTAACATGCATGAGAATGGTGGGTTGGTGATGAGGAAGAGAGTGATGGTGGTGGTGGATCAGTCATCTCACTCCAAGCATGCAATGATGTGGGCACTCACACATGTGACAAATAAGGGTGATATGCTCACTCTCCTTCACATTGTCCCTCCTCCACATAGGGGCTCTGAAAGACCTTCCGAATCTTCCTCTTGCTCTCCTTACCTTGCTAGCTCACTTGGTTCTCTCTGTAAGGCTTGTAAGCCTGAGGTATGTTTGCTCACCTAAAATGCTTATGCTCCCATAAGCATTCAATGGAATCTGTGTGTGTGTTTAAAGGAAAAGTGTTTTCATAGATCCCAGTGCCTTAAGAGGGAGGGAAAACTTCAGTTTTGATATTCTTTGGGCTCTTTCATTTACCACTTTTATTTTCCTCTCTATTCTTTGGAGGAAAAAAAAAGACAGTGTAATTATCTTTTCCTTTTCAGTTTTTGTTCACTTTTCTTTTTCATCAAGAGGAAAATTTTCAGATGCTTTATCTTTTCCTTACATCACTGCCTCTCTCTCTCTCCAACACACACACACAACAAAGCAAAAGGGAAGGGGTTTGTTGTGACCCTGTATTCTAATTACAGTTTTACTTTATGAGTTGCAGGTGGAAGTTGAGGCATTAGTTATACAAGGACCAAAGCTAGGCACAGTAATGAGCCAAGTGACGAAGCTGGAGGTGTCTGTGCTAGTACTGGGTCAAAAGAAGCCATCTCCACTCATCAATTGGTGAGAGTCCAACTTCAGTTTTCTATGTTGACTTTCCCATTCCTAGATTTCAAACTATGTCATCTTGAACTCCTAACCATTTTACCATTGTGATATTATTTCTTATCTTTTTTTGGAAGTTATCATTTTTTGTATTTATTTTAATTTACAGTGGTTACAAACTTAAATGTCAATCTATTTTGAGTATTGCAGTCTGTGTGGGAGCAGCAGTACAGAGAAGTTTGTGGAACAGTGCATAAACAATGTAGAGTGCTTGACAATAGGAGTGAGGAAGCAAAGCCAAGGCATTGGTGGGTACCTAATTAGCACCAGATGGCAGAAGAACTTCTGGCTCTTGGCCTAGTCTAATGACTAAATACTAGTACAAGAGAAGAGAAGAAATAATGTGTAGAAACTCTATTACTAATAGTATATGTAGTAGATTGTCAGTGGAATCTCAACCTCTAATTATTAACTAGATCTATTGTATCAATGGCATTTCAAAAAATACTCTCTCTCTCTCTCTCTCTCTCTCTCTCTCTCTCTCTCTCTCTCTCTGTAACTTCCTGCAATTAGGTCTTGGGTACTGGAAAAATTGAAACAAATACAATAAAATTATTATATAGTAGTGTAACAAGCACAAGCACTCTAGTAAATATTATATAGTAGTTCTAGAGAGGGTTGCAATGCCCTTCCCCACCTCTTCCCCCAAAAATCTTGTTGCCCACACATACCACATATCTATCTTCCCTCGTTCAATAAACACACAAATCCACTTAACTGTTGGAAAAAGCCATAACTAAGTCAACTCCTCCAAGGTAAGAGAAACCGGATTGATCTAATCTCCATTCATAAGCTAACAAGTTGATGGATAAAGCACCAAGGTGAAAGGATTATGGTCCTTTTCTTTCTTTTTCTGGTGTCCAAAATACAAACCCAACCTCCTCTTGCAAGTTTCAGACAATGAGGAAAATTGCAGTGTCACCAAAAAATCAGAACAAAATCGCCTGGTGTAAGTGAAGTGTCGAGCATAAAATTCATATGCCTAATAAAAGATAAATGGAACCTTGAGTATTTCTTTCGCAGAGGGGAAAAAATATGTATTGCTTTTTAAAGTAATCTGAGGAAGTTGAAACATCAAAGAAGTAGAATGTTTCTTTCTTTTTTCTAACATATTTTGCCCTATAATCATTTTCCAAACTGCTAGAATCCTTGTGCATGACTATGATACTAAACCTTATCATCCAGCTTATCGATTACGAGAGGAAGCAGCTCTAGACGGTTGCGTGGAGTTCGGGGTGTGCGAGGAGTTCCTGGTGGCTGTTGGGAGAGCATGTGCCTCACATACCCGTAGAATGTACATCCCACAAGTGTCACAGCACATCCAACAGCGTTCAAAGCCGATATGGGGTTTCTGAAGATCAGCCATGAACACGTAACAGCAACGGCAACCTGTGCAGAAACAGAAGGCAAGAAAACTTGAAGTGAATGATGCTAACGGCATGATCCCAAAAAAAAAAAAAAAATTGATGCCACCAGCGACTATGTAAACAACAATTTATCTAGGTTTTGGACATATTACACCAACACAACCATAACTGATGAGTCAATAACTTATCAGGAACATTATAATAAAACTAGCAATAACCCCATGTTTGAAGATACTTTTCAATAATTAATGCTATTGTGACATAATTAAGGAGCACAATTTGGAGACTTAACTTAACGCACTCTAACCATTGAATTGATAGTGGAGCGTGTCCAATGCTGAGACCCACTGATAATCTAATAATTGCAATTATTAAGTCCCTAATTTAGAAATTATGTCCCAATAAAATTAGTGCATTGCAATACCAAAATCGAGCATTGATCGTATAACATTTAAAATTTATTTTTCTCCTTTTTTCTCTTTAATCACACAATTAAAATTAAATGAACAAAAAAAAATAAGAAAGAGATAGGGGAGAGAAGGAGAGAAATAGATGTGAATTGGTGGGTTGTCTAACATTGGGGGTCATACAAAGAAAATGATATTTTTGAGTGGAAAAAAAAATTGGGATGAATTTTTTTTGTTAAACCTCAAAATATATAAGCAAAAAAGGAGAAAACGAAAACTAAAGTAGAGCCACCATCCAATTCCTTTGAATATCAGACAATGGCAACCCTCTAAAGTTTCATGTGGCTTTGGTCCAAAGTGAAGTCATAAAAACTAATTGTTCTCATACTAATTCAGAAGGTAATAATTATTGAAAATTCTAACATTTCTCTACATCCAAATACACCAAAGAATTGTCATGAATGCACAATGTCACAGTACTTTAGCTTCATTTTCTTTCCAAAACCTCAATTCTTAATCTGCACAGTAGAAGGAAAAATCCAAGCCTCACCAATCAAACTAATATTGTATTCCACAACCTTAAAACTACAGTAAATAAATAGAAGAGCATTCGATTCTCCACTACACAAACAAGTAAGACAAACATCAGGGCTCAATGTTTTATAGGGTCTCCGAACCTACAACAAATCTTCAGTGTTCACCCAATGAAGGACAACAGTCTAAACAAAAGCCTTAATTTTAAAAGAAACTTTGGCTTTCCAAATATACTTGGCTAAAGAGAAAGAATTAGTGTTGTTAGAGCTAACAATGTGTGAATAGAAGAATTTACATGAGAAAATCTTAGACTTATCCACAATCCAAATTCTACTGAGAAGAACAAGGTTGAAAGTCATTGAGATTGAGAAGCAAAAAAATCAAATCAATTACTTTCCTATCATTGAGATGCCTAAAAAATAAAAATTTCAAGAAAATAAGTCAGTCCCCTTGACAAAAAAGAGGAACTATAAACCTAATGGAGTGAGGAGAAACAATAAAGACGAGGAAAGATATTGTGAAAAGATAAATCCCTAATCCATATATCCTCCCAAAATAGAACTCTATCATGTCAAAGGAATAAAAGAAGCAAAAATCTGATAAATGAACTTCTAGGAGATCATATGAGTTGTGTTATTCCTTGACTTAGTATCCCTCCCATTCTTCTGAAAGTCATACTTACTCCTAATCACCTTATGTCAAAAGGAGTTAGGTTCTAACGAGAAACTCCACAACCATTTTCCTAATGTTTTAAACACCAAATTACCAAGTCTCAATCCCCCTTCATCTATAGGTTTACAAATTGTCTCCCAACTCACTAAATAATCTCACTTATCATCTCCTATCCCAAACCAAAAAAAGTCCCCCATCATCTTATCTAAGTTCCTAGCTACTGCAACAGGAATTTTAAAAAGTGACAAATTGTACAAAAAATGCTAGACAAACATACTTTTATCAAAGTGATCCTTCCTCCTGGAGAAAAATGTCATCTTTCAACTATCCAATTTTTTACGAATCTTTTCTACAACTGTATTCCAAAAAGAGAGTGATCTCAGATTTTCCCCCAATGCTAACCCCCGGTAAACCATAAGCCACTTATGTACTGAACAACCCGCCTCTAATGCCAAATCTATGACAACCTCCATATCCAAGTTGATGCATGTAACACCACTTTTAGACACATTAATTTTTGAACCTGAAACTTACCCAAAAATTTTAATTAACAAAAGCACATTATCAAAACAATCTCTTTTATTTGAAAGAAAAACATAGTATCATCCGTAAACTGCAAATGCGACACAGTAACATCCTCACCCATCACTCTCAATCCCTCTATCAATTCTACTTCCTCTGCCCTAATAATCATCCCGCCCAAGAGATCAACCATCACTATAAATATAAAAGGTGATAAATGATCTCTTTGTCTTAAACCCCTAGACACATTGAATCATTCCCTAACCTCCCCATTCACCAACACTGAAAAAGTCGAAGAAGAAAAACAGACCCTTATCCACCTTCTCGGCCTCTCCCCAAAACCCTTGTTTTTAATACAACATCCACAAAATTTCAACTTACCGATCATATGCCTTTTTAAAATCCAGCTTAAACACAACTATTTTTTTTCCCTTTTCTCATACCGTTCTCCACCATCTCATTTGCCATTAAAACTGCATCTAGTATTTGTCTTCCTTGAATGAAATCACTTTAAGTCATGATTATTGTTTCTCCCAAAATATCACAACGTCTTCTAGACAACACTTTGTGATAATGTTATACAAATTAGTTGTCAAACTGATAGATCTATAATCCTTAACTTTAAGGATAAAACTATTCTTCCCAAATTTGTTTACCAAATGTTGCATCTCAAATAATGTGTTAAAATTCTATATATTGAATTTTTTATGGAAATTAGCGAACCACACCCCACTGATTCAGCCACCGACAATGATTTAGAATATAAAATTTGATAAATTATTTAGTAAGCATAACACTGCTCGAACTTTAATTAAACGATCTTTTTTGGGAATCAACAAGATGAAAGTAGAATTACCACTTCTCCCCACAACCCCATTAGCAAAAAAAACACTAAATACACCTATCAAATTAGAGAAAACTCATCTTCACTCATAGAAGCAAGTTTGCCATTAGTATACGGATGCAATGGTTGTTAGTGTTCCCTAGAAAACATCTATCACGGAGGGCATTCGACGAAGAGAGGGAACCGCGTTGGCTAATTTGTAGTGATTGTTTTGTTGTTGGAATATATAAATGGAAAGCTGATATGTAAGAAACTATAACCTAAGACAATAATTAACCCTTTCCCATTTTGGGATAAATTTTGTACCATTAGATCAAAGTAGATAAAAATTCGATCAAAAATTGAGAATTTTGTACCGTTGTTCTTCCTTTTATAAGTTGAGAATTCCATTTCCCAACTTATAATTTAACTACATTAAAATAGGAAGTAATTTAAATATAGTAAACATGTTAACTACACCAAACATTTAAACAAAACTAACATTTTGACCATAATAGACTTTTTAACCACAATAAACATTTTAACCAGATCAAACATTTTACCATAATAAAAAAACGTGTTTTGCACAATGTGCTCTAGTTCTGCTTTAGTACAAATCTAGCTTTCCTCGCTCCACACACACACAAATCCACTCGTGTAAGAAAACCCAAAACAAAGCCAACTCCGAGTTGAGAGAAAATGGATTGACCTAATTTCCATTCATGAACTATGAAGTTGAGAGAAAAAGAATTACAACTACCACAAAGCTACGAAAACATGTACAGTGTTTGTATTTACAATTTTTCTGGTAAGCCAAAAACAATTTTAAGGAAAACTGAGTTCAAGAGAAGCTGTGGATGGCAAAACAGCAGCATTTGAGCACAAACAATATATTTGTAATAGGTCAGGAATATTGCAACTGCCAGGGCAACTAACTACAATAATTATGATTTTCGTGAGTCGTTCACAGGTACAACTTACATGTGATGTCATCGAATGATGCAGGCCTATAGAATGAGAAAAGGATGTCGCAGTACTTCAGAAAAGATTATTGTGAGAACAAATTACCACAACAGCAATAATAGCAAAGAGCTTCAACAAGGATAGATAAAGGTATGAGGGGTGTGCAGTTTGTTAAATTATTCTTACCTTAAGATTTCCAGCTACATTAAACGTAACTGCAGTTGTAGAGTGAATCACATAAAAGATCGAGAAGTTAAGGCAAAAAGCCATCACTCCAGAACCGAAAATAAGTACAAGTGACGAGATAAGTGAGGGACTTGTGTGAAACCATTCCACAACCCCAGAACCTTCCAGTAGTAAAGCCGGTACAGCCAAAATCATTGTCGCAAAAGGTGCCATGTAGTACACTGTGTTTATGCTATGGTACATGAAATAACAATTCCATCAGCACTAAACATAAAACAAAAAATTGCAGATAAAGAAAAAAACAAAAAAAAAGAAAGAATTGAATTACAGTATACAAAACTCCGAAGTTATAATTGAGACCCCACAACTCTTTGTCAAGTTTGATCATGTAGCTAAACCAATCAAGCAACAAAAGAGAAAGACTAACGGTAATCTTCAATAGGCTGGCTGAGAAGGTTTGAACAGTAAATTCAAGTTCTCTTTCCTTCAATTTTGAAGGTAAGATCTAAGGGAAATGATGTTATCTCCATCTCAGGAATATTCCCAGAATGTCTCATGGGTAGTTGGATAGTTTTTGATACAGTTATAAGTTCACTCCAGTCTAACCATATGTCTTTATGCAAACTTTCCCCAGTGTTGTGAAATCCAAGACTTCCAATTATAGAGAGAACAAAAAAGTGTAACACGCAGACACAAAAAAAGTGAGTCTAGCTTCTTTTTTCATTGGTGGCTTAAAAAGAATTGTAGAGATGTCCAGCATGCAGATGAAATATTCAAATGACATCAGTAAATTTTGAAAAACCAAAAGATCTAACAGACAGCCTGAATTAAACGCAAAATTAACAAAAAAGATCATATACAGTATTCATATGTTGAAAACCATAGTGTGCAAGGGGTTGTAGAACCAGACTGTGGAATAAATGCATATGGCTCAACCCAAAATCCTTAGGACACCTTTCTAAACAAAAATGACGAAGAAAACTGGAAACCCATTATACCATTAGCATTCACAGGCATGAGAACCAAAAATAAACCTGAAGCAAACTTAACTAAAACAACTTTAAAATACCCACTTGGAAATTTTTATCCTTCTCTGATAACTCCATTATTTTAAGTGGAGGGAGGACAATACCTGTCAAACTTGTAACCGTGCAGCAGAGACTCCGCGAGGATGGTCTTTGTAGAAGTAGCAAGACATCCAAATAAGGCAGCACAAAATCCGAACATATTAAAACTAAGCTCTGTAATAGAAGTGAGAAGAATTCCCCCAACAATTGGAACCAAAGAAGCCCAAATTCGCCAGTCAAAGTATTTTCTCCAAACCAACCACTGCAAAACGACTGTTTCAAATGCATCAGAATCGGATGGAATTGCCATACGATCATGTGAATGTCACAATTGCAAAACGATAATCTCTAAGGTTGTAAGGGAAAATCAAACCTGTTGTTGCAGGGGTAAAAGACTTTATAGTTTGCATGAAAGAAACGGGAATATAGCGTAAACTCACATTCCCCAACACTATGTTAATGCAAAACACAAATGACATGGGAAAGATCCTTCTCCAGCGGTCTTCACGGTCAACCACAATAAGTGGCTTCAACTTCAGCACCTTGATTACCAGGTATGCACCAATAGCCGAGCATATAAAGTGGATGCTTGATACAGTCAATGGAAACTTAAAATCCAAATTCTGTAGAAGGAAATTGTTTCAGAATGCAGTACGTTGCAATGATAATAATTCCAAATGCATACAAGCCAAAGAACATTAAAACAAAATTTTCCAAAATATGAACTCCGCATAATTTACAATAGGAAAAGTAAATTGATACATAGAAGATGAAGGGCATATAAAGCAAAAGTTGGCATATAGTTACATGGTCTGTACCTCGTTAAAACTCAAAAGTACAGACAACAATGAAAAACATGCTAGTTTCACCCCAATCAATTCTATCACCATTCTAGGCCCCAAACGAGTAATACTGCACCAATAGTTCCCATGCACATAGTTTAAGCTGAAAATTTTCCATGATTATTATTGTATGGCTACTAGCTAAGGTGAGGGCTGTTTATCACAGAGTAATTTTTTTGTTTAAAAAGTTCAGGACTAAATTCTTGGGCGCATAATTTGTATGGTCAAATGACTTGAAACCATATGTTCAAGTATTAGGATCATTATATCAACATTCTCTCAGCCTAACAACTCTAACCTCAGCCCAAACCTCTTTCAAGTGGCAAATTAAAGCTCACATTAAAACATGTCTCTAAGTGCACAGGAAATTTGAAACAATTTGAACCACGTGCGTGTGTGTGTATGTGTGTTTCTGTACAGGTACGGCAATGTCCACTACATTGGGGTGGTGTTAGCTGCCTCCCTCAATTTCACTTCACGAAAATTTTTCCATATCCAACAACAATTATTAAGCAAATATGGGGTGCAAACATCATTTCAACTAGGACTGTCAAAATTCGACACGACACGATTAACTGACACGAATTAAACGGATTTGGATGAGATCTTAACGGGTTTGGGTGATAAACGGGTTAACACGCCAAACACGTTTAATAAACGGGTCGTGTTCGGGTGAGATCTGTCAAATCGTTTATCACACATTTACCGTTTAAATATAATAAATTAATAATTATTTTAAAAAATTAGCAAGAAAAAAAAAATCAATAAAATAAAAAAACAAAGTAAAGTAGTAGTTCAAAGTCAAAAGAGAGGAAATGAGGAGCACTTCAAAGACAAAGGCAAACCAATGCCTTTTGTCTTTGTCCCACATTAAAAAATGAGAAGAGATGGGGAGGGTTGAGTTGACTATAAAAAACAATGGTCTCTTACTTCTTTTTCTTTAAGCCTTCAAGTCTTATTTTTATGAGATTTAACTAAAAATTCTTCTTTTGTGAGGTAAGTACAATTGGCAATAAAAAAAATAGAGTATTAAAATTTGTTAATATAATTTTTTTAAAATTAAACGAGTCATGTCGTGTTACCTGTTTATTAAACGGGTTGTATTCATGTTAAGATTTTTTACCTGTTTATTAAACGTGTCGTGTACGGGTTTATTAATTTTTCACCCGTCACCCGTTTAACCCGACACATTTGACATCCCTAATTTCAACATTTTGTATGTTATTTGATTATAACAAATCTTCTTCAATGCATCTTCATTCTGATCAAAACGGTAATAGCTGTCATCATCAACATCCCATCGCCATGAAAACCTCCCCCTCTCTCTCTCTCTCTCTCATAGAGAAATTTCACCTCCATATACTAGCTATAAGCACTTTTAAGAACCCATTTCCACACCCGATTCACACTCACACCCATAGCCTTTGTTGCGAATAATGAGTAGCTCATATTCACCAGGTGTAAAAGTAAAAAAGGATAGTTCAACAGTACTATTGTTTGATTGTCGGGGTCGAATAATAGGTTGAGAGATGCGGGGTACTCCCCGCAGCAAGGAATGGGTGCACGTAAATTTCCAATGATTTCCAATGTACATGTGGTAGAGGAGTTTTAACAAGATTGGATAAGCTAAGAAGTTTAACCGGAATTAATGTATCAAATTTACTAGGACTAGGTTTCCAAGTTAAGCTAGGATTAGGGTTATTAAATGGAACTTATGAATACGTTGTAGCCCTTTTGAATTCCAATATAATAATGAAGAAATGTCGTTCTCGTGGATGTAGGTAGGATTTCTATTGAGCCATGTAAATCTTATGTTCTTATTTTTCTTTATTTTTTTTCTTGATTGTTCACCACAGCCTCACCACACTACATCATCTCCACAACATACATTAACCATCACCCATCTCACCCAAAATCAACACGTAGACCAATGCCTCAATTGCAATTTGCCATTAACCACCCACCACACCAACACAATCACCATTGACTGACATTCGTTCACGGGACAGTGTCAACCTCAACAGCCATTCTGATTTATAAATTTAAAAATTGGATAAAATCATTTTATCTCACAATTCAGGTTATGTATATGCAATTGGATGGTCTCTGGTGGAAATACCAATCTGATTGAAAGATGGAGTGAGAATGTCACAACACCAACTTAAGATCAAGAAGGCCCAGAATGAACAATTAAAACCAATACACAATCCTATCTTTCCAACTCATGCATCTAGATTAGTTAACTCAGATCCAATTGTCAGATTCACTAAAAGAACTGTCATTTACCATATTAGGTATAGCAAACAAATTGGTCAAAGTGTTTAAAGATGGTTTTTTCCTCATGTCCAAAACAGAACATAAGCTAATAACACAAACAGCCCAGAATGAAACAGCTCTGATCCTTGTAATCCAGACAACAATGACCTAGATGTTAATGCAGCTAGGACTCCAAAACATACAGGTAGAAATCATAACATAAGTTTGTAAATAAGGGAAGTGAAACAATAATTTTGTACGCCAGCTCATCGTAATATTGTATGCATTTATACATCAAGACCAACTGTCATTCAGAGTCCAACATTTGTGCTATAGTCCATAACATCAATTACAATAATTTATAGGATCTATCACAGCACACATGGTTTTACACTATTCTAATATCGGCATAGCTGGAAAAGGGGGAAAAAAAGGTCTTTAAATTTTTTCTTGAGCCAGTTCTCATATTTCATCACAAGAGCACAAATATACCATCAAACGACCAATCCTACTTACTTGTATGTTTTAATTTGCAAAGAATGCAAAAATATTCAAACTTTAAAACTAAAAATGGCAATAATGCCAATAAAATAACAGCAACCAAGCAAGTAATATAATGAAGATATAAACTTACTCAGAGAAGTTACCAACTAATACTATTCATTCAACCATATAAGCAAGAGAATATCTAAAACAGATGAACATGTGTAGATGCATGTATCTATATACATAGAGCTGATGGCAAATAAAGTAACAGACCTGAAAGATCCATTTGTTCATGATAATAACAGTAACATTGAAACCCCACCACTGAATTATGGCTAGAAGGGATCGAATTACACTCCACTGACACAACCGATTCTCCTCCATCTCTCTCCTCCAAAATTCCAAAAACCCACCAATCTAGATCACCAAAGATTCAAAAAACACAAAACCCACTTCAATTCTGTAGAAAATAGGCAGAATCCTAGCAGCAGCAGCAACAGGGGTAGCTAGAGAGAGGGAATCAAAAGAGAAGAAGATCGAATTAGGGGAAGAGAAGGAATGGGGAAGGGTGTAACGGTGGAGGTGGTGGCTCCTCTCCCATGTGATGTAAGAGCAGGTTTTTAATCTTGAAATCTGGACGTGTTCGGCCTGCTTACTCCTTCACGCCATTATACCTTTTTATTGGTAAACTCGCACACACAACACACATTCGCTCTCCCTCCCTACACGCTCTTTGGAGGACAGGGGTCAATTACATTTTTCCCCCTAAATTACACGATTTCTGTTATTTTATCTCTTTAATTATTAAATTTCTCACGCTATACCTTTAATTATATGAATTAATTTTCACATTTCCCAGAACATAGACGTACATTATTTTTTGGACAAAAAATATCGTCATGTTGTAGCAAATTAAAACAAAATAAAGTAATTTAGAGGGAGGGATTGAAACAATTTTCACTCAAATTTCCAACTGATCATAATTATTGAGGGTAGTGTCAAACTAATAAATATAGTTAAATGCATAATATAAGAAACTAATTATTGTTTGTGTCTGAAGGCACATAATAATAAAAAATGATAAACAATAAACATATTTGTATTTATATCTAAAATCAAATTACAAACATAGAGAATAAAAAAATTTAAGCATCAGTTTGTAGTGGTAGTGGTAGTGGTAGGAAATAGTAATGGTTGTGGTGGGTGGGAATGACTGTGGTGGCTGCGACGACAATAGCGGTGGTGACGACGACGGCAATGGTGGGGGGTGGGGGTAAAGGTAATGGTGGTGGGGGCAAAAGTTGTGGTAGGACGGCTTCAAATACTATTTTTTTTAAAGTACTTATGAGAAATAATTCTTAGAAGTATTTTTAAAAAATCACTTCAAACACATCCTTAAGAACTTATTTTCTCTATTAAATTTAAGGTGTTAATATTAGTCATTAGATTAACTTTAAAATAAAATTCAAAACGATCTGAATCGCGAAAAACAAAAGTTATATTATTTATCTTTTGAAATTTGAATTGTAAGTTACTTTATTATATAGATATAATAATTGAGGGAATAAAATGATGTAAGTCTCATAATTTATGTAGGTAAAGTGTAATTAATCTATAAAGAGTAATTAAGAAACTTTTAGAAATTCCGAGGTCAAGGGGTCAAACTGGTCAGAAAATCACAGCTATTAAAAGAATATACTTTTCTTTGGTGATTTTGGCAAAATTTTATTCCATGGAGTTGGTCTGTGGCCACTAGCTTGTGATTCATGATTGGATTGGAAAATAGGCTAATTATCCAAAAAAAAAAAAAAAACAAAGTAATAATA